ACTAAAATACAGTCCTCTGTTGACATTTCACCAACTTTTCAGGCCTCTAACATCAGCATATATTGATGTGTGGCACGTAAAGGAAGCCACGTTTATGCTGAAAAACAGTGTTAAAGGCTTTAGAGCAGCAGCTGATGCATGCATGTATAAAACATCACCAAAATCTAGAAGTGATGGAAGTTTGGACACAGCGTTTAAATGTCAGTTTCACATCGATCCAAATTTCAAGATATTTAAACTCTGTGACTCTTTCAATATTTGTGCCACACATGGCAGAGATATGAGATTGTCTCCATAAATATAATTTAGTTTTATTTGTTGTGAGTCCAACTTAGCAAAGCAGTGCTGAAGGGATTTAACAGCAGGTTGAACAGTATCTACACTACAGTAATAAAGCGGTATCATCAGCGTAAAGATGTACATCACTACCAGATACAGAGAAGACACTGTCATCGGCATAACAAGTAAACGGCACAGGCTCCAGGTTTGAGCCTTGTGGGACGCCGTTTTCCACAAATTCTGATTTTCCAGAAGCTCCACATTGCTGTCTGTCCATGAGACTCAAACACTTTTATCAAATCTGACCGGGTGAAGACTTTTCAGAAACAAACGGCAGCGACTAAAATGACAGGTTTCCTGCTCACCGCTTTGCGTTTCAGGATGCAGTCCAGACGCCACCGGTTTCCTTCGACCACCGGCCTCTTCAGGAAAATCTCTGGACTCAACCTGCGAAACAAAAAACTTCATCGTTTCCGACCCACGTTCCTCCTCTTGACTCACTTTACCTTTAAATGAAATCCTCAAATCTCTGTTTGCTCTTTCTCATCATTTCTTCCTTCATTATTCCATCTTTCCTTCCTTCCTTCTCTTTTTTTGTTCATTTTCCTTTTTCCTTCTTTACCATCTTTAGTTCACTCCTTCATTCTTTATTTCTTCTTCTTCTCTTTCCTTCCTTCCCTTCGTTCTTTTCATGTCTTATTTCCTTCTTTCTTTCCTTTTCCTTTTTCCTTCCTTCCTCTCTTCCCTTGGTTCTTTTTTTTTTTCTTTTCTTCATCCTTCTTTCCTTCCTTTTCTGTAATTTCTATCTTTCTTTCTTCCTGTCCTTCCTTTTTTTATTCCTTCCTTCTTTCCTTCCTTCCTTTCTTTTTCCATCTTTTCTTTCTCTCTCTCTTCCTCCATTCTCTTTCTTTTGTTCTCTTTCCTTTCTTTCCTTCCTTCTTTTCCTTTTTCCTCCCTTTCCTTCTTTCCCTTCCATCCTTCTTTCCTTCCTTTTCTGCAATTTCTTTCTTTCCCTCCTTTTTTATTCCTTCTCTCTTCCCTTCTTTCCTTTCCTACCTCTCCTTCCTTCTTTTCTTTCTCGTCCTCCTTTCCTTCCATCTCTTTCTTTTGTTCTCTTTCCTTCCTTCCTTCCTTTTGTCCTTTGCTTATTTCTTCTTTCTTTCGTTTTCTAGTTTCCTTCCTTGCTCTCTTCCCCCCTTTCCTTCTTTCCCTTCCATCCTTCCTGCAATTTCTTTCTTCCTTTCCTTCCTTTTTTATTCCTTCTATCCTTCATCACTTCTTTCTCTCTTTCTTTTCTTCCAGCATCAGACCCAACTCCAGCACGTTTTTAGTCTCCGTACTCGTTAACTGAAGTAAAACACAGGACTTTGTAGAACCACCACCACCAGTAGGACTTCTACCAGTGTTTCTGCAGACACAACAAATCACACACACACACACCAATACACACTCTGCGTTTGTAGCTCTGATGTGTGTGTGTGTGTGTGTGTGTGTGTGTGTGTGTAACGGCGATCCGAGCCTCAGGCGGTAACTGATCGGTTTGACCAGAAAACCTCCCACAGAGGTGACCGCCGCGTGCACTCAGGGACACACAACACGGCCACGGACAACACAAACCGCCATGTGCACACAACAACAACACAACAACATAACAACAACAACACAACAGCAGCAGCAGCAGCGTCCTCTGAGGGTGAAGCTGCAGGTCAGCGCTCACCACCAGTCCGTGATGAAGATTTCCTCCTTGGCTTCCTCCAGAGCGTCGGCCACGTCCTCCATGTACAGCTTCCCGTTCACATACCTGCAGAAGACGCACAAAAAACACACAAAGCTTCATCCTTTAGCCTTCAGCGAACACGTGCAACAGAATTAGACACAGAAAAGCCTGTTTTCTATGAAGTGTGTGTCTGTAGCACTAAAAACACACAAAAACAAAATGAAAAAGCACATTTATTGCTCGTATCTCTATTTAATTTTGCATTTCCACTTCATTCACATGCAGGTTGCTCTGACAGAGAGATGGTTGGTGTTTGTGCAACTACTTCAAGGCTTTTTCTTTATTCATTTTACTTCTTTCTGCAGATGAAGGTAGTAAACGCCATCATCCTCCCAGTTCAAAGGAGTTCCCACATAAACCAACACCCTGAACTCATCGCGGCGGCGTGTCGCTCAGACGGTGTAGTGTTGCCCAGCAGGAGGACAGGTGATGAGCAGGTGGGTCTCACTTTCCCTCTCTTTGTGTCGGGTTACTACAGCGAGACGCACTCACCTCCGTTTCTATCTTTGCGAGGACCCTCTGTGACAGAACACATGCTCTGACTTGGACCTCGACCATCTCCGCTAAACGGCTGTAAAACCCAATCCAAACCCTCAGAGAACCCTCTGAAAACCTCGTCGTCCACAAACGTCCTCGCTGCTGGGGTCAAAGACTCACACCGGACCTCGCAGACATAGAAGTCTATCCACACACACACACACTCACACCTGCAGCGTGCCAGCTGGACCGAGCCTCGTCTAGACTTCTGGTGCGTTTGAACGGTGATGCGTTCACTTGCCGTTGCACAGAACGGACACGTGTGCGACTAGAAGCTAAACTTGCATCACCTGCATGTGAGTTTGATTTGCTCGACTTAACGCAGCTTAAAATTGTGTTTCTTAAGTTGACAATGATCTGAAAATTCAACTTAAAATGATTTTTAATAATTTATATTTGATTTACATATTTTTGAAATTGAATCTATTATTCAGCTGTGTTTGATGCTTGATGCAAATTTGATTCAAATTCAATTTTTGCTGAATTTGAATCCGTTACCGTAATGTCTGGACGATCAGCGGCTACTTTTTTCAGACACTTTGAACACTGATGCGGCAATTTATGGAGTTTTTAAACGAAATTTGCATCGAGACCAAAGTGACGTTGAGAGCGACGACGACAGAGAGACTGAGGAAGTGTGTGACGAAGGCTTATATTCAGGTGCGCTCATAGTACGGAAATTATGGTACAATTACATTTCAATTACGCAAAAGAAATTATTGTAAAAATAATAAAAATTTGGGTCACATAATTTGAAATTGAATTTATTACACGAAAATGGTTTTCAGTGCGTCTTGTATCTGATGTTCACTGAACATCCAATTCAATTTAAATTGTGCTTAATTTTAATCATTTGTACTTAAATTTGAATCCCATAATTTGAAATTGATATTATTACAAATCAATTACTCTGAACCTGTATTTGATGCACTCTAACAATTTAATTTAAATTACATATTTTTTTAGCATAATTATTCAACATTTTTAAACTCAGCTTCTTCAGAAACTAATTTTAAACGGAATTTACTCAGTTGAAACTGAACTTGGTTTTTCCGACATTGCCCATAATGTTCACTGAAAATGGAACTCAAATTCTTTTTTTCGGCTAAATTTGAACACATAATATGAAACTGCATTTATCATGCTAAAATTAAATTCAGTTTTTTTCTAAAATTGTATTATACGGTCGCTGGAAATCCAATTCAAACTCTTTTTTTTTTTTAAAGCACAATAATTCAAGTTGAGCACTTCAACTATAAATGATTCAAACTCAGTTCCTCGCGGCACGTATTTCTGCTCAGACAGGAATCTTTAACAGCTGAAAACGTATTAAGAGCGCTGTTGTAACGATCACCAAACGTTGTCAGAATGTGATGCGTTCACTTACTCAGACTGTATTTGATAAGTAATGAAAACGCTGAGTGAGCGACCCGCACTGCGCCGTCACCACCAGACCTCGTGCCTTCTTCTTTAAACACCCCCAAAAAACAACATAAACTCTGATGTGAAAGCTGGTTGCCGTGGTTACCATTTGGCGGGGATATTCTCCTCCTGCCGGGCGAAGGATCCGAAGCGGTGGTCTTTGAGGAAGGCCGAGCCGTGCTTCTGGACGAAGCCCTCGATGGCCTGACCCCACCACCGGGCGTGTCTGTAGCTGCTGCACTTCAGCACCAGCGACCTGCAGCCGCACACAAACGTAAATACACAACGAACACACACCCGAAACTGAGTCGTCACCTCGGATAGGAAACAGGAAGCGTACCTGTTGAGGCTGTCGACGCGGACGCCGTGTTTGGTTTCCGTGTCTTTGGAGTCCATCTTGATGCTGAACTCCTTGTCGAACAGCATCACGAAGGAGATGGCACCGGAGTCGGGCTTCATGTACAGCAGGAACGAGTCCTTCACCACCAGCCAGCTGCACACACAAGAGGCACCGCGTTCACGTTTAAACCGCAAAGATCAGCCGTCCTCCTCGTTTCACTCACCCTTAAATCGCCCTGGACGCATGTATAAAGCATTACAGCAAACAGGACGGGTCTCAAATCAACTCCACACCAGTAAACATGACATTATGGTGCTAAACACTAAATAAAACTAGAACCAACTGAATCAGAAACAAGTAATACATCTTCAGGATTAATGGGACAACAAACAGTGAGCTCATCAAAGTTAATGATCATTATGGCTGCAATTAATGATGATTTTTTTATTGCTAACAAACTGATTAGTTGTTTGGTCCATAAAATGTCAAAAAAATGTCAGAAAACTGCCCAAATACATGAACTTCAAATAACTGTGAGTACTGCCGTTCTCAGCCTCCATAGAAACGCATTTTACAGTTAAAAAAAATTAGGTTCCGTCTTAAATTGTGTTTCTTTTGGCTAAAACTAAGAAAAATCTGTTTTTCTTGTTAAAATTAAATCAGGTGCCAAAATCAACAGATTCTCTCCCAATGAGCTCTGCAGGAACTAATCTACAGACGACTTTAAATGCTTGTGTTTGCTGCCTTGTTTCATCCAAACACTTCATGTTTTTAAAGATTAAAGCCCAACTTGTTGCTCCAAACCACCATTACAGCTGATTCCTAATCGCTACCAAGAGCCCTCCATAATGCTGCTAAATAAAGCGTTGCATCGTCTGCATAGAGGAGGAGGCGGAGGTCAATCGGTGGAGATTTGAGGCTCGTAATGGTTTCAGCCTTTCGTGTTGTGAAAGCATCCTCTCAGTGTCTACTCAGTGTTTGTTTCTGCTCGTGTTTACGGACCGTTTGGACCAGCGGTAGCACATTTTGCTGCGACCGCAGCAGTTCAAGCCGGGGATCCGATGGCCGCCGGATCGCTTCAGCACCATCCCTTCTCTGAAAGACAACAAAGCTTCTAATTCTACAGAGAAATACTCGTTTTTGATAATATATATTTTTTTAAAAAACAACAAAAAAAAACACATTATTTGCACTAACAGACTACATAGTTAGCTGCTGACTATTGAGTGGAAAACATCCAGTTTTTTAAAAAAAAAATATCAACATGTTTTTGTAAATATAAATATAATGTAAAAGAGTCAGTATCTTAAAATATGACATCTGTTTTTAGATTTATTGGTATGATGGAAGTTTCTCATTAAAACTGTAAAGTTGTCAAAAAGATCTTGGGGTTAAACTAAAGCCTGATGGGAAACGTTTAGGATATTTTCCTTACAGGCCTTTCGGTCCCAGGTCGTGGATGAAGGACAGCTGACTTGCTTCAATGAACTCCATCTGAAAAACAAACAAACAGCTTGTTTCTTGAAGCAAAACTAAACTTTTTAAAACACGTTGCTCATTAACCGAAAAACTCGTCTTTATTATACAAACTCAGAAAATTCTTAACTGCTTACAAGTTACAACTATTAGACGTTTTTCAGTGTTAATGTCGTGTTTTTAATAAATAAAAGTATTCTGTAGGGAGCTTGAAGGCAGATAAAAAGTCCGACAGCTTTCTTTTGCTGCCAAGAAAAATGAAGAAAAAGTGCATCAGATGTTTTTACCTCCATGCAGGTAAATAAGTGTCTTCCTCGAGGGTTTTAAGCACTAGAGATCAATTAGCTATGTTCAGAACATCCTGGTCTCTTGTACAAGTCTCCAGGATCTTTCCAGGTTTTCCAGGATGTGTGGAAACCTCTAAACCCGTGCTCACCGTGGCGTGGTAGTTCCGGTACATCGGCATCTTCAGCAGGTTGTTCAAGTAATCCTCCAGTTGTTTCTGGAACAAAGACTCATTCAGTTTAGGTGCAACTCAACGGAAAACATCAAGACAGTAAAATCAAATATCCTGGTGAGCGACGTACCCTCCGGCTGGACACCTGCTCCTCTCGGCCCAGCTCGTCTCCTCCTCCTCGGGGCAGGTTCGGCATCTGCCTCACCTCGCTCCTGGTCGCCGTCTGCCGCTTCACCGTGTGGCTGCGCAGAGGAATCAGAAGAAAACGGTCGGTTTGGGCGGATATCCGAAGCCGAGGCGTGAGGAGGCGGGAAAGGTGCGTCGGTTTTACCTGCGCGACGGCAGCGGCAGCCTCATGAAGGTCTTGTAGGTCCTCAGCTCTCGATGCAGCTCCATGAAGTGCTTCTCCTTCCTCTTCACCAGCCACGTGAACTCCCCGTGCTTCATCTCGATCTTATACACAGCAGGCATCGACTGCAAACACAGGGAATGTTCAAGGCTTTAAATTCAGTCAACTACCAAAACAAATGGATTCTGTCTCAGTGGTAGAAGCTGCTTCATAAAGACTGGATATTGCTTCTTTAGTTCAGCTTTTCCATATGACACCATGCTGTCGGTTAAAACCACCACATTCTGCTCAGTAATTTATTAATTACTAAACATTGTTACACATGTTCAGGGTCACACGATGCTGGAAATCGTTCATTTATTTTCTTGATGAGAGTTGGATAAAAAAAATGAACCCCACAACCCGGCGGCTGGTTGTAAAGGCGTGTTATTTTAAATAAATCTCCACAAATACACCTTTTATCAGAGCAAGAACTGAAGGACTCGTCAGGTGTTTGAAGTTTTGAA